CGATATGTAGTCAGTTATCCTGTGTAATAGTTGTGTGGTTGAATGTAATTTTCGAAACCCGAATTGATGGTCAGGAATAATCTGTTTGTCTGTTAGTATATGTAATAGTCGTGAGTATAATAGTTTTTCAAATAATTTAGAACACACTGGAAGCAAACTAATCGGTCTATATGAAGAAGGATTGTTAGTTTCTTTGTCTGGCTTTTTAATCATGGTTATATGAGAGTATTTCCACTGTATTGGAAATTTTGTGGTCCTAAGAATGCAATTGAAGATTGTGGTGAGAATCACTAGAACTTTCCTTGGAATTTGCTGGAGCGCCTCAGCATTTATCAAGTCATGACCAGGGGTTTTTCTTTTCGGTAATTGTCTGATTTCTTGTGCAATTTGTGAAAGGAGGTGGTGGTGGTGTGAGCTGTAGTGGTATGTCTAAGTTATTTTGTACAAAAATATCATTGTATTAACGAAGTCCGTATGTGATTTAAAAACAGAGGAAAGACGAGTTGCAAAGAGTTCAAATCTTTCTTCGTCCGAAACAGCCCAAGAACCATCCTCTCTTCGTAGGGGTGCTGACACCTCACGATGCTTTAAAAGATTCCTTGTGTGTCTCCATAAACTTCCATCGTCCTTCGAAAGGTTGTTAATAAAATTGTCGTAGTTTGTTCTTTTGAATATGTCTTTTAAGTTCGTTGTTCAATCTGTTAAAATTTTGTCTGCCTGAAGGAAGTCTATTAGTCTGCCACACTTTACGAGCTCTTCTCTTTGCCCTGTTTAAGTCCCTTATGTATATAGGATAATGGGGCAAGTTCACTGCTCTTTTTGACTTAGATGTTGATGAGGACCATGCTGCATCTTGTATACTTTTTGTAAAAGTTTCAACGGCTTCTTCTAGTTCCCCTAGATTTTTAATTGAACCTGGAACAGAAATATTTTTGTTCAAATGGTCTTTATATGCGCCCCAGTCCATGCAACCTGTTATGAGCTTAGTTCTCTTTTGTGCTTCAGAAGGCGCGTCAAAGCGAACCATGTGCACCGAGGAGTGATCAGAGCAAAGATCAGAGCTTGTATTGACGGCAAAAGGTACGGTTCTAAGTCCTTTTGTAACAAAGAAATCAAGTAAGTCGGGAGTTTTGCGTCTGGAGGTGGGCCAATAAGTGTGTGAATTTGGAGTTATTGTGTCTAATGAAAGTTCATGGAGGACAGAACAGAGATGTCTGCCTCTTGGAGTAGACAACCTTGAACCCCAGTCTTGATGCTTAGCATTACAGTCTCCACCTGCGATGAAGCATCTTCCGAGGATTAGAAGAACTCAGCAAACATCGTGGATGTAAGCTTGTAAGCCGGGGACAGTAAACTGAGGCAAATGTTATGGTGTAGTGTTTAGTGTATAATGTTATTCCTGTTGATTGTATGTCGGGTGTAATGGGTAAGTCTATGGGATTGTGTTTTAGTGAATTTTTTATGAGTATCGCTGTTCCTCCATGTGCAGTTTTGTCTGGGTGATCAGTTCTATAAATAGAGTAATCCTGGATGTAAATTTTTGATCGAGGTGTCAGGTGTGTTTCAGTAATGAGTGCAACGTTAATCAGTTTTTCGTGCAAGTATAAGTCAAGTTCAGTACTGTGTTGTGTCAGTCCTTTGGCATTCCACAAAAGAATTGACAGAGAATCCACAGTTAAATTATTGTGGGACATAATTAGGGCACCAGACCTGTGTAAGCTGTGATAGCTGTTGAAGGAGAATGAAAAAGGGCTGGATTAAGTTATTTAACCAATTAATTATATTAAATAACTGGGAAGAGCTATTATCTACCGGAGGTACCGTCTGGGTAATGCCTCCCCTCATACCTGTACATGTTTTCTGGTTCTGGGGTGCTGAGTTCGATGATGGTTGATTATGTTGCTGCTGAGGTCCAGCGATGTTCTGTGGTTCCGCTTGGTTGATCCGCTGCCGTATTGGAGGGAATTCATGGATGCCTGGAGGTCCCTGTGGTGGCTCTGCTACTGTGGGATGCTGAAGACGGTTTCTTGCATTGCGCTGAACCCTGAGATCTTTCAGCGTCTGGCAGCCTCTCTAGTTAGCCGGGTGCTGACCACTACAATTAGCGCACTTAGCGGGAGTCTTTCTAGTTTTTAAACATGACCTGCTTTCGTGATATTCGCCGCACTTCACACAGCGTGATCGTGATTGCAACATGTTTTAGTGTGTCCATATTGCTGACACCGAACACACTTAGGAATACTTCGCTTCTGACGTGGTTCCTCGATTTTAATGTGAGAGTAATATAAAAACTCAATTTTAAAAATGTCTTCTCTGAATGTCTCTTTTGCAACGCCTACGAAAAACATAGGAAGATGTTTTTTAAATCGAGATATTACGTTTACTACATTTGTTACTTCATAGCCCATATTTTTAAATTCTTCTCTGATTATCTCGACTGGTGTTCCATGATGGAGATATTTAACAACAACTCTTGGACACCTGTCCTGAGGGAGTTGTTAGGTGTGAAAGTCGGCACCTTTATTTCGTAGGCTTGAGTTTAATTTGCGATATATATATCAGGTGTTTGTGGGTAAACAGTGACTCCTTTTAATTTTGATCTTGTCTTGAATGTATTAGGGCCAGCTTCATTTTCTAAGAATGAAATTAAAGCATGATAATTCTCCACCATTTATAAAAATTGGTGGAGTTTTATCATTTTGAGGCGGTTGTCTATTTCTTCAGTTTGCGAGTTGATATTTGCTAGAACCTCAAAACTATTAGAAGTTGGAATAGGTTCTGTTGCTCGTTTTTGTGCTCTTGGCTCGCTTGAATCTGACATAGATCTTTTACGACCAATAACCAGCTCCCAGGAGCCAACGTCACTATTTGTATCACTGTTTGCTAAGTTCATATCGCTTACCTCCTCGTGTTGTGACCATTCCATCATTGTTGGCGGTGAAATCCGCTCAACCTTTGTTTTGTTTTTTGTCTTCAGCTCTGTTGTCTTAAAAAAAACAACACTTTTGCTACACAAAAAATGAGTATTTATACTAAATTATCACTTTTTAGAAGAGACAAAGCAAATTAACCTTTATCGTTGTTTTGTAGAGAAATATCTCTATTAATAGTTAAGTTAAGAAAAAAAAATCTGGTGCGCGCAACACACAACTTTCACTTATCGATCTACTTTGAATAGAAATTATTTTTTGGCAATGCTGAGCTATTATAAAATTTTTTGAAGTGCATTTTAAACGGATCTAAAGCTTAAAGCTTACAGATAACAAATCATTAAGACCATTATAATTACAAAATGTCAATTTAATATATCGACGGCAGGCAATAAAAATCTAGTCACTCCATCTGCTTTTATAAACCACTCAACTTTCTTTGCTTTTATAAACCACAGAATGACTAACTCCAATTTCAACATTTTTGAGTGATGTCATTTTAGTGATATTTTTAGTTGAAAAAGTTATCTATGCAGACAATGAGTAAGTTGATTCCAGATTGGTGATTGCAGTGTTGAAATATAGAACTGAGAATAAAGGTATACATTTAGGTACTAATTTCTTATGAAAGATGTTCTTAGGAAAGACGTTTTATTAAATATCGTAGATAAAAGTTTTTTTTAGTCTCAACAATTAAAAAAGTATATTTTAAATTTATCCAAATTTTCCCCTCTTCAGGTAAAAAAATAGAGACCATATCTTTCCTCCTAATTGTCCGATTTTAACGATTTTTTTTTTTTGTTTTTTTAGGAAATTCCATAAACTTTAAAAAAAATCATATAATATTCCCAAAAAAGTGTATACTTTTTGAGTTATTTAGAATTTAATTTTACCATCCTTCGTAACTTTTTTTCTAGCTTGCTTGAAGTATGTTATATAAATAAATTTAAAGGGTATCGAGAAAATGACTTTAGCGAAGTTTCATTGAAATCGGCACATTCGTTTAGGCGCTACAATCTATAGCAACACAGGGTTTTCTGCATTTTTATTTTTTTTCCTCCTTTATTACCTTATCAAATTCTTTCAAATGTTATATGTAGCATTTTTTCGTAACTCTGAATAATGCGAAATGGTTAAATTTTGAAAATAAACCATATTAAAGTTACTTTAGAGGAATACATATATGAACATTGGGCATTTAAGTCCTGTATAGTCACATCAACGGGAATAAGACCTAAATGATATTAAAGACCACTTGATTATACAATGATACACCGAGTTTGATCAAAATCGTTAGAACCATTTTTGAGAAAATTGTAAAAATGTGTTTCAGCGTTCATATAAAGTGGCACTTCCGGTTAGCCGATTTTAACGAAAAAGTTGCTGTCACATCCGGCCCATATACAAACCTTAAATACTTAATATCAGTTTCGTACTACTTTTCGTTTATGAGCTAGACTGTTAACACACACGCACAGACACACACACACACACAGACCATTTTGCGACACTTGGTTACTTGAACGCAGGGGACCTCAAAACATGTATTTCCGTTGAAAACTGAGATTCGAAAATTTTCAAGATCGCAATACTTACCCTTAGTATATATTACATATATACGTAAGTGAAAGTAAAAAAAAAGAACAATAAACGAATTCTCTATAACAAAAAAAAAAAAAAATACTAGTTATAATATTACTATAAGAGTAGTTGTTTGTGGGATTTATTTATTATTTAAAATTATAGGGATGAAAAAATCATTAGAATTTTCAGTAAAAAATTGTTTATTTTTTAAATTTTTTATTTGAAGGAATTTTGACAGCTAATTCTGACAATTTTCATCCTTATAATATCGTTTTATCATTAAAAGAAGTATTCGCAAGATCTATAGACAAAATTAAACAAAAATTGTGCAACAATGTTTTATTGTTTCACTAAATAAATGTAAATCTTCCTTTTTTCTATTTACGTAACATATTAAATATTATTATTAGTACAGGCTTTGAAATAAAGAATTTATAAATAATCTTAATATCAATTTCGTTCTTTTCATTTCAGGTCTAACCTGCAATTTTCATAGCATTTTATTCTAGATTGCTTATTGTATTTAGTTATTTATCAACTTGAAATTATCTTCGATCAAACGTCAAAATACAAAAGTATTATTTTCAATAAATTAAACAATAACAAAAAAAAAAGCACAATAATGTTGAAATGAACCTTCATTGATAAGCTTGAAAGAGCAATAGGTAGGTCTGGCGGTCTAGTCCTTACGCCACGATTCAAGTCCCCCACCACGCATTTCTGAGTGAGGGAACCTGGAACTTGCCTTTCTTTCAATGCCCTACAGCTGTACCTCTTTGTTAGTTTTACAAGAATGTGTAACCTCCAGAGTTATAGTTAAAAAATAAGTGTGATAGATTAGATGGGATGGGTTCACTCAGTCATAGGCTTTTCTTGGGAGCTCTGTTTAAAAACAAAGATAAGCTATGTGATGTGAGAACACACTTAGAAAATGTGAATAATTTGTGCAGGTTTTTACATAAGCACAGTGTTAATTATAGTCTCAAATCTGATCTGCCCATTAAATGGTTTAGACCAGAAAAAATTCCATGCTATAAGCCAGCTAAAAGTGGTGATCTAAAGGATTTGGGACAAGTAGATGTAAAGTGTTTGGCTCCTTCGTTTCAGGACATTGATGAATTAAAAAGGTGTTACAAGATTACTATTTTATAATTATTACTATTCTGGTGCCGCTTTTTGTAATTTTGTTGCTATCCTAATGATGTAGCCCTACTAGTTGTATGTACCCTTCAATTATGAATCACTCATGTTGATTAAGTTAATAATGAAGATTTTACTATCTTAAACGAATCACTATGAACTCAGTTCATAAAGTGTTTCTCCAAATATTCAGCAAATTGGCACTATTTTTAGAATCTGTTTATTATTACTGTTTAAGTTTCTTATACCAATTTGCTAATCTATTTAAAATCTGAATGTTTGCGATTAAAGTTTTAAAGCAAGAGCTATGAAGGATATATCATTTAGATCACTCTTGTTGTAATGTTTGAATATACAATCGTCCATCATTTACCTTAGATGCATAGATTTATAAATTTTAAAATATCTAAATTTATAAATTAACAAAATGTATGTTTTAGTGCTGATGAAAATGTAAAGAAACTCTTTACCTTAGAATTCTTACCATACAAATCAACTGTTAGCCACCTGAGGCAGGAGTATGCAAACAGAGTCAAAAGGCATGAATTTGATGATGATTCCCCTGAAGTTAGGGGTAAGATAATTCATTACGGTAACATAATTAAACGATGCATATGTGTTACATAAGTAAATGAGACAAATTTGTTAGTGTTACTGGGTATAACTTTAATTAATTTAGTAAAGGAAAGATGTTCCTCTACAGCTATTCTATACAATATGATGATGATTAATGATGAAATTTATTTATTATAAATATAAAAACATATTTCTTATTGCTCCAATCTCATTGACAAGGATCTCTCATAAAATTCTTCTTATGAATATGCATCAATGATGATGTACAAGAAGTTGAATTAGTGTTAGTTCTCAAAATTCCACACAGATTAGGCATGGTTCACCATCACTTTGGTCATCTAAGCTGAATACTTAAACAATCTTACACGATATGCACTCTTTTTAAATTATAATGCTTATGCAAATACAAAATTTTAGCACGTACCAATAAAAACTTTTATCCCTAAAAGTATTTTTTTTTTAATAGTCATTCAAGGACCACTCAAACACCATTTTATGTATTTTCTTCCAGAGTAATTACCACTATAAAAAACAATTGCCCCCTTCCCCAAAATTAAATCCTGAATCAGCTACTGGACCAACTTAATAAAGCAACAAAAAAAAAAAAAAATATATATATATATATATAAATATTTAAAGGTGTATCGACAGCCATATTGCAGAACACGAAAAAAAACTGCATAATTTTTGTCCTATGAGCATTATATTTTTGGCTTAATTTTTTTTGCAGGCCTAAGACAAAATGGTAATACTCGATGTCATTTTTTGATTGTATTTCTGCCATATAATCCTTTAGAGCCATAACTTCTAACTTATAGCTTTTTAGTTAATATGAAAATTTGGTAAAACAATCAAATTTACTGTAGCAACACCCATAACTTTGTTAATAATGATCAAATCATGACAGGAACAAAGTCAGTTTCCAAAATGTAGAGAAACGATACTTCAAATGAAAATTTGTAAAACATTTGACAGTAAAGCTACTATTTGTTCACAAGGGTTATTCGCTTTTTTGTCTCCCACTGTAGGGGTGGCTGGTGCATGCTCCCCATTTTGAAGTAGTCTATGAAAGTTTTCTTTTTAACGTACTCTACTTTATATGGACATGGATTTGATTCACGAATACTTGATAAGTTCCATGTAACCTGCTGATGCGTTGAACACTTCGTTTCTGAGCTTCTTGCGATTTCAAAGATTCCTTGGTTTGAAAAGATGAAACTAGAGTTCTTTTTTAATCTTGTTTAATTTTCCAATTAATGAAATAAATTCTATGTCTCACACTGGAATTCTGCAGCATTGTAGCTTTTTTCCAGTCAAGCTCATTTTGCTGTTGCCTGGAAGTTTCGATTGTTTTGAAGGCCATTCAATATTATATTCCCACTTACCACTCTCTTCTTTGCTTTGCCTATTTCTATGGTAAGCAGCTTCAAACCAGGGTATTCGCCCAGAGGTGCCGAGCTGGAAGTGCATACCACTTAGTAGAAATTTAAAAAAAGAATACAAGGTGTTTTAGAAAAATTGATTTTAGTCTATTAATAAAGCTAATTGATACTTCAGTATAAGCATAAAACGCTTTATACATTATATATTTTCATGAACAACTTTCATTGATCATTTCATTACATTTTTATATTACGACACAATCTCTGTTACTCCAGACTAGGTTTGTCCAGCGTTGCACATTTCTCCAAAACGTTTGGAGACCCCAGCTCTGGGCCATCAGCGCCATCGCTGACCTTGGGGGTTCTACTCTAGACTCTATCGTTGTACTCCTTTTTAAGCGTGTGCCCCAGCCATCTCCATTTCCGACGTTTTAATGACTTGTTCTATCAGGGCTTGATTAGTTCGCGACCAGAGCTCAATATTAGAGATTGTTTCAGGCCACCATACTCTCAATATATTCTGCAGACATTTATTGATGAACCTCTGTAGCTTCTTGGTAACTTTCCAATTCTCGCATACATATGGCAGAACGGATATAACATTTGCTTTAAAGATGCGAAGCTTGGTCACTCTCCTGATTTCTTGGGATTCCCATACTTTTAAAGCTGCATTTTGGGCTTTTCTTATATTGCCCTTAACATCTTCATCAGCCCCTCCATCCTGGCTCACCATACTCCCAAGCTAGCAGAATTTAGTAACCCTTTCAATTATCTCATTTTCTATAAAAAGATTTTTCTGGCTCCTACTATTCACTTGCTTCTCTTTCGTTTTAGTAGCATTTATTTTGAGGCTGGTTCTTTGAGCTTCTTCCTGGAGTTCATTTAGCTTATGAACCCTATAACAAAGTTTTATAGTAATATTTCTATAAGGAGTAAATAGTTGAAGTTTAAGTTGAAACTGGTTTGATCAGGATGTATGGACACAGAGTTTTGAAAAAAGTGTTTAAATTAACAGTGGTTTTAATCCTATCATTTTATATAATAAATTATTGAAGGGTGTTAGGGGACTGTTCTACATATCATGAGTAATAAATATTCACGACTCAGTCATTATAAGGTTTTTATTAATGCCGACGTTTCAACCCAAACATGTGGGTCATCATCAGGGCTCTGTTTTGGTGTTTGAAGTATCTGGAGAGAGAGCAGAATGAGCTGTAGACGAAGATGATGAACAAGCTGAGTGCGAGTGGTGTAGAGCTTGAGATGGACCAGGATGACATGCTTTCTGCTCTCTCTCCAAATACTTCGAACACCAAAAAATGTTGGCACTAATAAAAATCTTATAATGACTGTGTCCTGAATATTTATCACCCATGATATGTAAAACAGTCGACTAACTCCCTTCAATAATTCATTAAATCATTGGGATCATCTTTCTACAACAAGAATACATGTTGTAGCTGAAAACACTATCTCACAACACACATCAAGAAAAACATGTCATCCTGGCCCATCTCAAGCTCTACACCGCTCGCACTCAGCTTGTTCATCATCTTTGTCTACAGCTCATTCTGCTCTCTCTCCAGATACTTCAAACACCAAAACAGAGCCCTGATGATGACCCACATGTTTGGGTGGAAACGTCGGCACTAATAAAAATCTTATAATGACTGTGTCCTGAATATTTATCACCCATGATTTGATATAATAAATTTTCACTATTTCTGTTATTGATTATATATGTTTTGGTTTATCTTGTCAAGGTCGTTTTAATTTAGGAGTAGATAGACGGCAATTGATGGTATCGGCATCGAAATTTCTGATTCTCTTTTTTATATTTTATTTAAATAATATTAATATCACTTATTTAAATAATATTAATATTTAAAAAAAATAATCATTTTTAAAAATCATTGTAATACCAGTTTTTAATAATTAACAGAAAGCTGATTTGAAATTTTTTACTTCTCCCTCTCTATTTAAACATAGGTAGGTTAACGGATTTGGGATGGAGTAGGAGGATTTTATTGATAAAATCTTGTCCCGGGAGCCTAAAACCCACAAAATGGTTCTGATTACATAATACTTAAAGGTCAGCCTTTACAGTTTATAAAATTTTACAGTTTATAAACTTTACAGTTTATAAAATTAAAAAAACTTAACATTAAAGCCTTTTTTTGATTGAACTTCTAAGTTTCACTTTATGCTACCAATGAATTGTGTTATAAAATATTTTTTTTACAGTTGCTAAAATGACTGCAGATATAAGAGACATGCAGAGATTTGTGGAAACATTCCCACATGACAAAAGAACAAGAGTTAGGTTAAAAGAGACTATTGATAAGAGAAAAAGATTACTGAAAAGGTTACGGACCTGGGACTATAAGTGCTTTGAGTATGTAATAGAGAAATTGGATCTTATTTACAAACCATATCCTCTTTCGTAAGTAAATAATAATGTATATTTGTTTTTAGTTAGAGTTATGTATGTTTTTAATTTTTTTTCATGTCTTGTTGCTTAAGAGAGCTTAAACTCAATTCTAAACAACCTGATACAGAAAAATCTTGTAGAAGAATGGGGGATTTTTTTTTATCTATTCAACACAGAAAAACAAACAATTCTTTTAACATATTAAACAGAATAATTACATTTATCATAAATAAAGAAATAATTCTTTTTACATTTTTGTTTTGTTTTTTTGAAATATTTTTTCAATATATCTGTTTATACACTATAAATGTATTTGTATCATAAGTTATATTGATGTTTATAACTTTATTAAATATTAACTATTTATTATATTCAACAAAAATTTAAGAATTCTTAAAACATATACTTTTTTTTTTCAGAATTTTGAGCTAATATTAATTCAAAACATTCACAAGATCTCACTGAGTCATTTGAAGCATCTAACATTAAAATAGTCAAGCCTTTCGCCCAGAAAATCGTTAAATACCTTTTAACATAAAGATTAAACACATTTTATTCAATAATATGGTACTGTTTTTTTTTTCAAAACACACAGGGTGAGATCCTATAATTTCAGCCATCGAATAATTCTAGAGCTTATAAATTGGTCTAGCCATTAGCTCAAAAAATCGTTACATGCCCTTTTAGCAGATAAATTAAAATACATTTTATACTGTAACATTTTTGTTTTGAGGGCAAATTGATCGAAAACACTCCTGGGATCTCGCTCTGTATATTGAGCCAGCGAACTTAAAAACTGTTCCAGCTGTTCACTCAAAAAGTTATTATATATCTTTTAGCTAATGGGTTTAAACACATTTTATACAATAATTTTTTCGAGTTTTGAACTACGATTTTTTCAAAACACTCAATAGATTCTTTAAGCCATCAATTCATTATATTCTTCAATTTTATCTTGTCCCTTTTGGAAAATATCCCTGCAATATTAATAGTTAAGCTATAAGACTGAGCTACCCCTGAACATATACTAATCCATTATTGTACTCGCTCAAGACCAATTTATTTGGTGCAGAAGAGCCTTGGTTTTTAATTCTCTCACTTACTATAGTATAATATAGAATAATAATATTATAATAGTATAGAATTCTTTGTTTCACTGAGAGTATAGAAGCTTTAACTGGATATTTTTTTATATTTAATAAAAATATCAAAAATTTCTTTCTAAATTATTTAAAGTGTCCAAGGAATCGTTGAGCTATTTTCTTCCATTTACCTTTTCAATAAATTTTTATTTGTCAAAGACTAGTACAATAAGCAATATTTTAATTTTTAAAACCAAAATGCGTGCTAAACATTCATGGCAACCATAGATTTAGCTACGAGGAATTTGGTAAGAAATATGAAATATCTCAAAAACAGGACTTTTTCGGGCTTTAGAACACAGGCCCAATATAGTTTTATTTGGAACTGTTCCAGGTGTGTCTGTGTCTTAATCTTTAAAATATAATTTATTCCTTGTCAATCTGTTGACTATTGAAACCATCTGTTTTAAAACCTATGTTTTTCAATGATGTTTATAATAATTATAGTAATGTTCTAAGTGTTGTGTTTATGATTCATCACTTTTCCGTTAATTGAAATTTCAACCTAGTCAGGCCAGATTCGAATCATATGGCATAAAACCTGACTCAAGGATGCTTTCTTCTTTACATTAAATAGGATTATTATTTTTTATATTTTCAAGATTTATATTCTTATTTACACATTATTAAAATAAAAATTTATCTGTTTATTGTATTGTTTTTAACATCTTTCATGACGAGTAAATATGAAAACATAATACTTTTGATAATTTGATATTTATGTTTCTTGAAATATATTTCTTAACAATTCTATAAATTATTGCAGAGATGTTTACAAACGGATAGAAAGAAAACGCTCCATGCGAATGCTTACTAATACATATTGTCAAAATATTGTAACAGATAAACTCACAAAATATAAGGAAGAACTTAACTCTCAGAAAGAATCTTATTTGGTACATAAGATAGAAACCTTAAAATGGATTATGAAGGAGGAGGCTTACTGCGGTGTCCAACCTACAATTACTGAAGATCATTTGAAAGCTGTTGAAGCAGAATTATCTAAATTAAGGGAATCAATGAAAACCGAAACAACTGTCATTAATGAATGATTTGTTTTTTATTAATTACTTTAAATAATTTAGTTTAAAAAATAAAGTCTAGTTGTCTAACGATAGTTTTCTTTTCCTCATAATTTTCCCTGTATCACCTTAGCAATAGTAGTAGTGATTAGAAACTATTCCAAGTCAAAAGAACTGGATTGGAACCTGAATATAAGTTACTTGTCTCGGTAAGTTTCTCTGTCTTCTCATTTGTTATTTGTACCTAAGGATCTTGTGTGCTGTGAAAATAATTGTTGTACTTATTAGCAGTTGCATAAATGATGTTTTACACGAACATATAAACTCTTAAAATACAGAAAAAACAATAACAGGATGGTGGTGAGGGTATAAACACACTTGAGTTGCTGAGAGATATTTAGCTTTAAAATACTTTTAATTTACAAAGGAAAACAACATTAAACATGCAAAACCGATTTTTAAAAAATCTGGTGCAGTGCACATAACTTTCACTTACTATCCTTAGAGTTGAGAGGTATTTTCATATATAAGGAAGTCAAAGTGAAAACGACGCCATAACTTTATTTATAACACGACGACGGCATAACATTTATCACGAAACTCTTCGAAAAAATAACTTAATGTTAGTAAATCCTCAACATTGCCTGTAAAATCTTTTTAAATATGATGGATAAGTAATATATAAAAGCTCCTGTACAGAGTGGTATCGGGTAACTGGAAAGGGAGAGGATTGGCCAAGGTCAGGCACTCTGCTGTTTCTGTATAGCTTCCAACCCTTATTTCTTCCTTAATTATCAATCAATTTTCTTCATTCATTATATTTAAACATTTTCTGTATCACTTTCCATTTTGAAATGATTAATTATTTCATATAGAAAAAATTAAAGACAGTTTAGAGGAAGACATTTTGAAAATTAGGCATTTAAACCCTGTTAGAGAACATCAATGAGAATAAGACCTACATTATATTTAAAATCGCTTAATTTTACATTGATTTACTGAATTTCATCAAAATCGTTCGAGCTGTTTTCAAGAAAATTGTAAAATTTATGATATAATGGCACTTCTGTTAGTCAATTTTGACAAATAAGTTGCTGTAACATCTCAAGCATGTACAAATCTTAAAAATGCAATTTCAGTTGCATAAGAATTTTCATTTTTTAGTTAAACTGTTCACATACAGGCCATTTAGCAGAACTTGGTTATTTGGACTCAAGGGACCTAAAAACACGTATTTCTGTTGAAAACTCAGATTCGAAAATTTTCACTGTTGCAATACTTTCTCTTACAGTATATTACATATACAGGTAAGTGAAAGCGAAAACAAGAGAAAACTGTTGCCTTAAATATTATATCTATCAACATTAGTACTTATTAGGCACTTTGGCAAGCTCTCTTTGATAGATGCCCAAAAACCGACAGTAAACAGATTAGTCACAAACAGAGAAACACGAGCAACACAAGCAAAAGCGTTCCTCATACAAGCTCTTACTCACCATGGTTTGACGGATAATCAAATATAAATGGTAACTCCTAAGGTTGCTTTGTTTCAAGACGCTACACTGTTCCAGAACCAAGTTTATATTTATAATGAGTAACTATACCTTTCTAAAGGTATTATCCATACTTATCTGTACTTATATAATGATAAAATTATATTAATCCAAACAATATTTCTGACTTTTATATTGCCTATAGTTAAATATGAAATATTCACTGCTATTAAGAAATTAAAATACAAAAAGCATTCTGGTGCTGATGGCATTCCAGCACTTTTTGATTTAGGTGATATCAATACAGAAGGCAATATGTTTGAACATGTAGAGAAATTTAAGGTTAGTCTGAAGGCGGGAAATTCTTGTTATTTTTCTGTGACAAAACTATTTAGCTTGTGCCTCCTGTCCCGAAACTTAAATATTAGAATTTACAATAACAACCTATAGTTGTTTATGGATGTGAAACTTAGCTGGCTTACATTGATGGATGAATATCTTAAGGTTTTTGGAAATAAATTATTGCTTAGAATCTTTGAACCATTGAAGGACGAGTCAAACAGAGAATTTCGACAGTTACACAACACCATATTGTGTGAACTGTTTCAAGTTAATACAATTCAGGTGATTAAATTATGGTAAATAAAATGAGCATGTAAAATTATTGGCCTTATTAACGAAAGAATCCCTAAAAGGTTAATGTATACTGTGCTGACTAGTAAACGTCTGAGGGGTAGACCAAGACATAGGTGGGAAGATGGCATTATTAAGGTTGATCTAGTGGAGTTAGATTTGGACGGCAAACGGTAGAGGAAGGTGTGTGGACAGAATTGGTGGTATCGGCACAGAACTTTCTATTTCGCTAATCCGTTTATTATTAAATTATAAATCGACATAAAAATAATATTCAATGGTTTCCTATCCTAGATTAAAAATAAACAAAGTTACCCACGAGATAAGAGATCTTTGTGTAATTTTTGATAATAGTCTTACATTAATTTAGTTAATCGAAACAATCAATTTAAATTGTTTTCTACATTAGAGTTTATAAGAAAGCATTGCAATTATTAATGACCCAACTGCTTTGATCAGTTTTTAATTCTATTAGTTGACTAGCAATTGAATATTGTTTAAATCATAGGTTTTTACCTTCTTTTCTAGAAAAATTCTAAAACCAATTTTGCTAATAATAAAAAGTTGGTTAGGAATTTGAAAATCATATCAACTCCGATAATTCAGCAAATATTCTATATTTACTCAATGGATCTGCTGCTATTAGTTTCTTTTGATGTCAAATTTAGTTCTTTATGTATTAGTTTTAATATGTTTTTTTTTTTAATTTTTTACGGAATAAATCATTTCTTAACTAAAAAAAAAAAAAGTTTTTAAAATATTCTTTGGCCTCAAAATAGTCCAATTCTTCATTTACTGCCCCTAATGTTCATAAGAATACATTTACTATAAAACACTAAACTCTTTTTGTAATTATGATTTTTTGATTAATGTCCATTCAAATGAAATGTATCAATAAAACATTTTGTATTTTTGTGCTACATAGAATAGTTTATCGTCGTGATAAAGCTCACTATTATTGGGATTACGATTATTATAATAAAACAGTAAATGATAATTATTTTTCAATTTACTCCAATAAGATTACCTGTTGTCATACAATTAAAGTTCAAACCATGCTTAAATTTGTATATTACATTAATTTATTCTAAATATGGATAAAATGACATGAATAACTATCTTAAAAGTGAAAATTTTCAAATCTTTATTAGGGTCACGATGAAAACATTTTTAAATAAATATAACAAACAATAATTCAAGTTAAAAATATAGTGACCATATTTGTGAATAACAACAGAATATAAAAAACAACAACAATACAACAAATAAGAAAATCGCAGCTATTATTAACTTACATGCTCATTAAATATGTTTTAAAATAGCTTACTCTTTTTTACTTAATATATAAGCTTACAATTAAATTACTTAATTTTACATTTTAAATAAAATAAAATCATTTTCAAATTCTTTGGATTTGAACGACAGGTACTCAATTTTTCAACTAGCTCATGAAGTGTCAGAAGAGTGTTTTCATCCTTACAATACTGTATATAATCAAAATTATAGTGGGAGTCAGGTTTACACAACTTAGGATCTAGAGTGACAGGGTATTCTCTAACATGGTATAGTTTACAATATGATATAATCATATGATATATTAAATCTATTTCTAGAGGAGTCAGGTTTAAATTTCTGTATAATGAAGTAGATGTTTCCCAACCTTTGATCAGTACTTCCTCCATCTGCTTGGTCTTAGCAAGCTGAACAGCTGAACAGTCTGAAGACACTGTGTTCCATACAGTGACACCAGCTTGGAAAGAAAACAATTTAATTAATTGAGATTTAAAATTTCAAGTAAGCTAATATCAAAAAGTAGATTTTTATGCAGCTATATAATTATCTTTCTTTTGGATGTTCCCTAAGATAAACAAACCCTCAATTGTGACGAACCTACGGCCATCAAAATTAAGAATAAATAAAAGTTCTGACACCAAAAACTTAAAATGCCTAGAGTGAGGTCAAAATATATGCTAGCATATATTACATTTTTTTAATGCCTTGATATTTTTCCCTGCTTCATAAGGGAGAATTAAAAAATAAAACTCAGAATAAATCAAAAGGCGACATAAAGAATTTTTATTATTATTAATAGAAATTAAATATTTCAGTGATTTTGTAAAGTAAAATCTATGTGGAATGGAAATAAGTGCTACAATAAAAATGAAATTATTTATTTTATCGCTAACCAAACCTGATTTCAATTCAGTTGATAAGTGACATTTTTGGAAAAATTGAATCGTTACTAACAAGAGGAAGTTACGGATGTGGGGTCACCGATTTCAACAAAACATTTTTGGTGATACTAGGTCGCAAAATATTAGACCCATGTCTGAGGGTTCTTGCCGATGCGAGCCAAGAAAAAAGTACTTAATAAAGTTTTATTATATTTTTATGTTATTATTTTTTGACTTTACTCTGAATGAATATATAAGTTATAATATATCAATCAATTTTTTTTTTTTGTAAAATAATAAAAACATATTGCTTATTTATAAGATGAGTTCTTGTATGTAATAAATTACAAAAACCAATAGACACTTCAAGTACAGTAGGCCAAGTAAATTTTTGTCATGAAAAAACTACTCAGATTCGTTTTTGGGTTCACTGAAAATTTGTTTTGAAATCAAAAATATAAATTTTTGGAGGCCATTTCATGGGAGAATTTTTTTTCATGACGTTTATTAAAATATTCATAACTCCTCAGATTTTTCTCTTAAGTCGACGTTAGTACAACCATTGGAAAGCTAAATTATTTCCCTTTAAAATAACATCAATAACTTTGATATTTCATGCTTTTCAAAAGAATAAATAAATAAGAACTTCTCAAACGTTTTTTATTTTTTATCTCCAAGCTTAATTAATTTACTTTTCGAAAAAAAATCTCAACATCATTTCTTCTTAAAAAAATATTTGAACTTACTTTACTCCTTAAGTACTATTTGTTTCAATATTGAACACATACTATACTTGTATGCCAAATATATATATTTTTCTAAACCGGACGGGCATCAAATGTAAGATTATAAAAGTAAGATTATATATAAGATAAATTCTAGTATTATGTCTAGATTCAAACCGAAAATAAGAATAAAGCATTTGTTTTATATATTATACCATGAAATATATTTTTTGGGATAAATTTTTCGATTCCCCTAAAATAAGCATTTTCGTTGCAATCGAAAAATAAAATTTTTTTGCTCAATATTCTGCCTTTATAATATATATGCAATTGAAAAATATAAATTTTTCACTCAATATTCTGTCTTATATTAATATCTCTTGTGAGATCCAGCTTTATAGCAGATATTAGAAAAACAAAATACATTTATTTATCAATTGCAATGAAAATTTCCTTAATATTTAAATATTATAAATTTTCTTCCATATTTAAATTTTATTGCATTTTTTTTTGCTGCATAAAAATCCGATCCTTGATCAGAACACATTTTTACAATGACAGAATTTTCTTTACCTCCATTACTCAATAAAATGTCAACAATTTTTTCATTCCCTTGTTTTACAGCACATGACAGAGGAGTATCATTATCACTATTAAGAGAAAATATATTTAGTTCTTCAGCTCCTGAAAAAAACAAAAACATAATTAAATTACTAAGTCATAAGATAATATGTTTTAAGAGATAGAAAATATTATTTTAAAAATTTTATTTTACCTGCTGGAGCAGTTAATCTATGCTTGACAAGTAATTTGAGGCAATCGATAGAATTATAATGTGCAGTATTATGTAAGGGTGTCCAACCTGCATTATCAGCAATATTTACATTGACATCTTTGCTTCTTAATGCAACACTCAGAGCTTTATGATTGTTCATTCTACAGTATTTGTGAATGACAGTTTCCCCTGTAATAAAAGAAAAAAATGAATAAACTGATTTCACACTAAATAATATAAAAAATATTAACTTAACACTATAAAGGAGGGTATTCAATTATTTACCTGAAGTATCACATTTATTGTTTTTAGGATTTAAATTTTTCTTTGAAATTCCTCTCTGATTACCCTGAAAAACAGAATAATAAAATCAAATTGTAAGCAAACAATGTCCTTGAAAATAAAAATTATAAATTATATTTTTTGAGCTGTTGCTTCTATAGCAGTGCTATAGTAACAAATTTGCCTGCTGGTATAGACACAATTGAATGCAACAATTTAACTATTTGAATAACCAAATGTAAGAAGTGCCGCTATAAACCAAACAACAAACGTGGGACTGTCTTTAGTAAGGTTACGTTTTCAAAGTGTACCTGCAGATATAGATCAACGGAATACGATTTAACAATTGAAATACCCAAATTAAGAAAACGAAGGTATAAGTATTTGTTAGAAATCAATTGTAAGATGTGCCAAGATCACACTGTATATGGAATACTGAAACTAGCCGAGTTCGCCCAAAAATATATGAAGGCAACCAATGTCCAAGCTTCATACGAAATCAATAAGTATAAATAACAGTATGAACTGACTCATAATATTTACACAATATTATGTGACAAATTTCAAATTAAAAATAATTTTTATGTTTCCCAACAACTATAACCATGACACCCTTTACTTTTTCAAATTATTAAGCACAATAATTAAGAAGCTTAGAATTCAAATAAAATGAAATTGAGGAAATGTAAGATCAACATAAAAGCAACAGTAATGACCAATGCTCAATTTACAAATGTTTACAACAGTAAGTAAGCTCACAACCAATTATATTAGTGTATACTATTAAATTCTGACATGACATTTTTTTGGGTTCTCCCCTTCCTCGCCTTTCAGGCTATATGGGATTTTCCTGGGCCAGGGGGTGTGGACGGGCATTTAAAAGGTTCCCCAGGCACCGGTCCGCAACTAATGAATTTATCAAAACTGATAAAAAAATCTTTAAAAAATATAGAACATTTTTTTTTTCTAAATTATATAAAAGTTGTCCTGAAAGTAGAGAGAAATTTTTGTAGGAGTGATAGCAGTCCTCATGAGCTAGAAAGAAGTTTACATAAACAATTGGCTAATTATCAACAGAAAAGTAGGAAATCAATTTTTTTTTTTTTAAGCTAGTCATGTTTTTTGTTGAAGAGGAAGCGATAACTAAAATAATATTTAATTTAAGTAATTAATGATTGCTTCACTGTAAACTAGACAAAATTTACTTAGAATGAAAATAGAGTTTGTCACTGTTAAAACCAACTAGCTAAATTCCGATTTTAAAAAAGATATAAATTATTTGCCATTTATTTTACTCATCTTCCAAGTGTACTACAGATATCCCACTTTTTTTTATAAAACATCCTTGTTTAATATGTTATAAGTCCATATAAGTTAAGTTGAGGTTTATTAGGCTCAACTCTCTCAACTAGGCTCTCAAAACTTGAGATTCATCTCAAGCCATGTAAAAAAAATGATGCGATTTTATATCCAGTCACCTAAATGCACCCGTGTTTTCATAAAAAATAACAACAATTAACTGTGGAAAAGTTTAAATTTTTGGTTTATCCATGATCTGGGATGTAAGACAATAAACACAATTGGTTAAATATACTTTTTAAAAATATTTTTCATGCTAAATGTTTATGACACTGTGTTCTTCTCCCAGACCTCTGTCATAGGAATTAATCTGTATTAATAAGCGCCAACTTGATGTTTCTAGTCCTAAAATAAAGAAACCCGCTAATTGCTACAATTATTTTCATGAAAATGTAAATATTAGGATCAGGAACATTAAGCTTGTCATTTAGAAATATGGACCTATTCCTATGCTATGTCAGATATCTGGAATTGAAACACAATTTCATGGCCATTTTACATGAAAAAAAGCAAACATTTTTGCTAAATAAACAAAAGTGTATTTAAGCAATTATGTTTATTATAATAAATCCCAGATTATGGAAAAACACAAGATACTTTTAGGTGGCTGGATATTAAATCACATAATTTTTTTTTTTACATAACTTGAAGTGAATCTCAAATTTTTGCATAATAAACCTTGACTTAATTAATATGGACTTGAAGTGTATTTTTGAACATTTTTGAAAAGTGGTGTATCTATAGTATACTTGAAGGATGATTAAAACGCTTCCTCTTCATCAAAAAACATGACTGAGGGGGGTAGCTCAGTGGTAGTGAACTGAGCTTTCAATGCTAAAGGTCCCAGGTTCGAACCCTGGCTCATGGCAGAAAATTTATTTATCTGTTTCATTGGCCTTGCGCCACCCTGGGTTGGGAGACCCTCCTGGGGCACACCCAGCCTTTATAAAGTGGGTACCCTTAATTAAATAATTAATTAAGGGGGAAAACCTGGCGGTTGAGCGAGATCTCGGTCAAATCACCTCCTTGCACAACCATTGATCTAGAAACAGTACTTTCCTTAAATAGTACTGAACCCAAGACCCTTCATGGGTTGTAGCGGTACAGGTTTTTTACAGTGAAGCAATCATTAATTACTTAAATTAAATATTACTTACATTATCACTTAAAAAAAAAAAAAAAAAAGCATAAAAAACCACAAAACTTGGGTTCCGTACTTTTCTACTGAAAATTGGCCCATTGTTTATATGAACTTTTTTGTAGCTCACGAGGTCTGCTATCATTGCTATAAAAATTTCCCACTACTCATGGGATACCTTGTATATACATAAATGGTGCCATATTTTACATCTGACAGTCAGTGTGATCAGAGCTGACGGTTTAAGGAATTAAGTAATAATGCAACATAAGCAAAAGTGAGTGAAATAGCTTTTAATTGAAATTTGTTGAATGCTAGGATTTGATGAGGGAAAAAATTGATTAAATTTTGAAAAATTATCTTTCTTTACGCTCTGTACTTTTTGCATCTCTCATCTATCTTAAAATATATTGTCCTTAACGACGAGATCAAATTAAAAAGAGAAAAATTGATAAGTTGTTACTGATCATAGTGGAAATATTACAATTTATCAGAAGTAGATGAATTAAGAGCAACAGTAAACGTACCTTGTTTAACACTGTTTTAGGTCTCAAAGAAAGATTTCTCATAATTATTTTTACCTAAAAAAAAAATAAACAATATTTATAAAAAAAACAAATAAATAAATTTCATTAATCATTTGATAAATTGTATTTTCTTACAACAGAATTAAGATCATCAATCCCATTCGATGTCAACTCACTCTTCAAAATAAAACCAATAACTTTGAATTTTAGCCAATAAGGATAAATCAGTTGGATGTTAGATACAGTATCTTCATTTATCACATTTGTCACTAAAAAAAAAATTAATACTTAAAAGTAAAAAATCTATCATAAAAATAATTAAATCTAACAAAGTAAATAAAAATTACTGACTGCAATATGCTATCACAAAAAAATTATTTTTACTTAGTAAATGGCTTTCAATACAGTTTAAGTAAAAATATCTAGTTAGAACACGTGCCATTTTCAATTCTTGGCTATTTTGAGCATGCTTCAGGATATCATAAACAATATGCTCAATGTGATCTTGAAACAAGCCAACTTCTTGGAGTAACGGTTCAGAACTAGTAACAAGTTTTTTAATGTACAAAAAATATGCATAAATATGAGATTTTTATTACACAAAACCTGGTCTCTAGTAATCATTAACAACTTCCAAGGCTAATCAAGATGATTTCTAACCATTCGATGATGCGCCTGAATGTAAAAGCAAAATATTCATAGTAAAGATTAATATTTTAATCGTTAATAATTATTGAATATAATAATTTTACTCCTCCTCCGATCTTTGCCAAAAATATTAGAATTTTTCAATTGTTGTGTATACAACTAAATAAAATCTGTCTCGATAGCTTTTCATGCATTAACAGAACTAGTGAAACAAAAATGACACCAGCCACACCTGAAGCCTATTGGAAAATAGTTGAGTATTTAACTGAAACAGGTGCGGATTGGATTTTCACAAATACCAGCTGAAGAAGGATAGATCATTACGAGTGATGAAAGAAATTTACACTCCTAATCCCCAGCTGAAGTTATCGACGAAGAGCTAACGGCGTAAGGGTTGAATGTTCGCCAAACAACAAATGTTTTAAAAGAAAATAGAGAACAGCCAGGAGTAAAAGCTAAAATTCCATTGCCCTTATTTTTTGTAGATTTAGAGCCAACACCAGGGGTTGAAAAACTATATCCAAAAAAAGAAATTGTACAGTGCCACAATTGTCAGGCATACGGCCAAGCTAAGTCATATTGCCTCCGCTACGTGAAGTGCAGTGAGTCACACAAATCTGATGAAAGTACCAAATCAATAAAAGACCCTGCACTCTGCGCCCTGTGCTTGGAAGGTCATTCGGCCAACTATAAAGTCTGTGAAATTTACAAAAACCTAAAAGCTAGATACAAGCCCCGGAACCAGGGTGCTACACCTAAACAAAGAAAAGGACCAACTAAAATTGTGGACTCTAGCTACTTGGGGGTAGAGACCCGACTAATGAAACTTAATTCTCAAAATTTTACCCTCCTTCCACCCAATTTACCTATATACTCACCCACTGATAAAAACCGTAATCCCGATTTCTTTATCTACAATGGTTTAAGTACCCTCAACCATTCCCTTGCACTTCTTGATGAGCTTTCCTCCACAGGCCATTAATACTTTAAGTATCACTAGCTCCTATTATTAAACTCTCTCCACCATCCTTCATCAGAGGCCCAGTTAACTGGAAACTCTTTTGTAAAATCCTTTCTGATAAAATTGACCTCAGAGTAATCCTGAAAACCTCCGAAGACCTGGACAATGCCGTTCATTCCTTTACCACTTAAATCCAGGAAGCAGTCTGGTCCTTCTCCTGATCATTCCTAAAAAATCCTCAAGAAACCCAATTACCTCAACACCTCCTTGACCTAATCCATATAAAACGCCATGCCAGATTATAATGGCAACATACCAGACATCCCGCTGACCCTACAATTATTACTGTAAAAAATTAAAACAAGAATTAGCCACCTTCAGATCCCAATCATTCAACTCCTATCTCATGTCCTCTGCTCATGATAACTCCTTTGGAATATCACAAAAAAATCCTAAAATCCCATCATATTTCTCATCCCCTTTGTCGAGATGATGGTACCTGGGCAGCGTCTGATGTCGACAAAGCCAAGGAATTTGCGAAACAGCTTTCCTATACCTTCACTCTTCATCCGGAATTTCGTCCCATCCACACTGTAAAAGTAGAATTCCTATCTTCACCTATCCCACTTTCCTTTCTACCTAAAGCAGTTAATCCCTCTGAGATCAAATATCTATTATGCAAAATCACTCCTCGTAAATCTCCTGGATAAGATCTTCTAACCCCACAGATCCTTCGACAACTACCACCAAAATCCAACATATTTCTTAAGTATACATACAATTGTATCCTGCGAACTACCCACTTTCCTCTCTTATGGAAACGTTCCACCATCATCCTTTTCCTGAAACCAGGCAAGCCTTCCAATAATACATCATCCTATAGACCAATTAGCCTACTCCCAATCCTTTCAAAATTTTTTGAAAAGAATCCTTTTCCGTCCAGAATTTTCTGACTGTTACTCAATTGAGGCTAGAGTTCCTCAAGGCAGCATCTTGGGTCGTGTCATTTACATTCTCTATACTGCTGACAGTCCCAATATTCTCCTGGCAACTTTCGCTGATGATACAGCTATTCTATCTTCCAACTCAGATCCTGAAACAGAGTCCATAAACCTGCAAAGACACCTAATCTCTGATTGAACACTGATGCAAGAAATGGTTCATCAAAGACAATAAATCCAAATGTAAACATATAACCTTCATCCTACGTCGTAATTCCTTCCCACTAGTTTATTTTAACTTTATCCAGCTTCCCTTCTCCGAAACAGTCCGGTATCTTGGTTTTCTCTTAGACAGATGACTAACTGGACTAACTGGAATCCGTATAATAGACTTAAAAGACAGGAACTTAACCGACGTTATGGCCAGCTATATGGACTACTGAATAGCAAATCCAAACTTTCTATTGAAAACAAATTACTGATCTACAAGAGAATACTAAAACTAATCTGGGCCTACGGACTAGAACTGTGGGGGACTACCAAATTTTGTAACATGAAACGCATTCAATCATTCTAGTCTTTAATAGTCCTTATTTAAGTCCTTCGTACAATAGTCGATGCTCCCTTCTGTCACCAATAAAACCCTGCATAATAACCTTAATATTCAATTTGTTCTTGATCTTATCCCAGACAAATTTTTCAAATTTCATCAGAACCTTACTGATCAACCCAATGCGATGGCACAGTCCCTATCTAGCACCACCCATCCCTACAATCCTTAAAACAGCAGTGGCTCCGTAACCTTTTGTAACATGCATATATTGAAGTTCTGGCAATGGCCAGATTCTGCACTCAAGTCATGAGTGTCTATGGTTGTAGCGCCCTTACTCAGCCTCTGCTGGCTTTAATACCAGTGAAGTGGTTGAAGGAGAAGCGCAAGGATCTTCTGAAGCCTCACTTTTCTCTCCACAAGTGGGGGGACAAATCTGGTTGGAGTTTTCCTGGCCACTTTTCATGGTTCGAGAAGATGTAAAAAAGTCTTTTTCTTTTTTTATAATATTAAACTTCGCACACTATTTTTTACTTTTCTATTTGTCTGTTGTTTAACTCATGTGGCAACCATTTTCCTGCTTTCTGGATCTTTCCTATGGCATGCAATCATTAATGGTTCGGCGACATACATATATTTAACGGTGACAAACACTCTCTGCTATTTGTTGTTAATTGACACGTTTATAACATGAAAAAAATATGAAGTTAATTCGAAATATTTGAACAATGGCATTTTGTAAGGTTCTGGCATAGCAACAAAATAACATAAGGGGTTAGACTGTACTGATCTTGTTTCCAGAACCATCCCTGAGAAAAATTAAAAATCATTACCCTCCATACCTGGTAATTAGCAAGGTTTATATCAAAACATTTTATATGATTTGAAACCAAAATATAGTAAATAAAAATAAAAGTTTTAATCTTAAATATAGTAAACAGTTTTTTTTTTATAAGTAATGAATATCTTTAACAAAAACTTGACAAAATATATACTAGTGCAGACCAATTAACTTACTTTTCACAAAGGCCGAGAGTTCTTTAGCAAATCTATTACAATGTATACCAAAAGATGGAAATTTCATTTCTTTATTTTCTTCACTTGCTCTTACAACTTCACTTAATAATGTGATGTATCTCTAAAAACAAATTATTAATTTTCTAAAAGATTAGTCAAATTTATCGATAATGAAAAAAAATACAATATTTCTTTAATTTAATAAATAACAAAAAACAAAATTACTAGTTTCATTGATCTCAGCATGTAGAGGTTTACTATAGAAATAATAAGATCCAGACATGTGGTGCAGCAGTATAAAATGATTCTTTTTTTAGAAATAATATAAACAAATGATAAATTTTGGGATCTGAAGTTGCATTTATGAGTCATTTATTTTTAGTTTATAAGAATAGATTAAAAAAAATAAAATAAAATAATGTTATACCACATATATTTAAGAGAAAAAATAGTTGTTTTTCTGTGTTTACGAATATTTTACTTCACATTATACATAATGTTTTTATAAGCAGATTTATTGGGGTTCTTATAATTATTAATAATAGATAAAATGTTTCAATCCCATTCCGTTGAGACAGAAAATCAAACATTTTGTCAATTATTAATTATACATTATTTTTATTATTGCTAAATTTTGGTTCTTAAATTGAAAAAAAAGAAGCTATAATTTATAACAGAGTTGAGGTTCCTTAGAATTTCAAGTTGATGATTATACTTAAAAAATATGATGAAGTTACTAGTAAATTAAGGACTTAAATTGTCACATAACTTATGATAATTTAAAAATAACATGACATCAATGTGAAAACTGCCATCATGGATGAATTTGTAAAACTTACAGCTATTTCAAACTTATATTCCTTAGGACAAGAACTGAAGAGATCAAATACTTCAATACAATGCTCATTTAGTGAATTACGATCTTTGATATCTTCACAGACAATCTTAACAATAATAGGGAAAGATGATTCACTGCGTAGTTTGTTTCGCAAACAATATCTTGACCTCATCCACCACATCTACAAGAAAAAAAAAATATATTCCACAACAATTACTTTGCTATTAGTAAATTCTGGAAGAATGCGGTTAATTCAATGTTAATATGAAGTCATAAAAGGTCCAATAGAATGGAACTGTCTAATATGTAGAGGACTATTCGTGAAAACTGATCTAAAGAAAACAATTATGCTTTTATTTTATTAAAAAATCTTATTCCACGACAAAATGTAACTGGATGTAGAAAATAATTAAATAATAGTAAAAATAAAATAAAATACTCAGTATAAAAATAATAAGTTAAATGGTTAAGAGAAAAATTTTGGATATAGAAACATATTTACCCTGAAGTTTTCCTCTAAGATGTCAACCATTAAGCTAAATACAAAAAATAACCTTTTGAGTATAGCTCTGGAATCAATATTATCTTTATCTTCTTCAAAATCTTTATTCTGAAAAAAAAAAATATTACTTATCTAAAATTAAAAAAAAAAACAGTATATAAAAAAGAAACAGTTCAAAAACCTTTCTTAGCAGCTATTAACTCACAGATGAAATTAAAGCTGTTGGTAAAATATTACCAGTTTTCTTATAATTATCAGAAAAAAACTGATAGAAGTCATCAATATTCTCGGGGATTTCAAAACTCTTATTTACAACGACATCTTCTTTTACTACATCATCAACACCGTCATCATCCGGTTTATTATTTATATCTTTGATCGTTTTATCGATGCATTTCAAAATATTCTTAAAATTACAGGTCACAATTTCTGGATTGGATGGATCCTACAATTAAAATAGAAGATTTTTAAATAAATAGAAGGTTGAATTGAATAGAGATGTTAATATGTACATTTAAATTACAATTTTATTTATTTATAATACTAATTTTATTATTTTTTAAATTATAAGGTATTTTCTATTTACATTCAGTGATAATTAAAAAAAAAAATTAAAAACAAACCTAAGTTTAAAAATTGGGTACAGAGTGCGTGTGCATCACAAAACATACACTTTCCACCATACTTTTAGTAGAAATAGTTATTTTCAGACAGAGAAGTTAAACTAATAATAAAGGGTACAAACTGCTTAACTTCACCTTAATAGCAAATATACTATCATTATAGCTTCTTCACCATCTTCATTGAGTATAAAAGAAACTATCCATACAAGCATGCACTTTAATAACATAATGATTTTATTTATATTTGAAGAGCATAATCCAATAACTCTAATAAATTACATTAAGTTTAAAAAATTATATAACTTCCCCTTGTCATATATTTAATGCCTATCACATTTCACAGCTGTTATATTTTTAACAATCACATTAATGTTAATTAACTAGGACTCGAGATAAATACAGATAAGACAAAATATATGGTTAGCTACAAAAACAGAAAAAATTTTGATGATATCGATATAGAAGAGAATGTGTTTGAAGATGTACAGAATTTTAGGTATCTAGGGTCTACGATAACTAGAAAAAACAAAATTGAAGAGGATATTAAGGTTAGGCTGAAGGCAGGAAATGCTTGTTATTTTTCTTTGTTAAAATTACTTAGTTCTCACCTCATGTCCTGAAACTTAAAAATTAGAATTTACAAAACTATTATCCTACCTATAGTTCTTTATGGATGTGAAACATGGCCACTTACATTAAGGGATGAGGAAAGTCTTAAAGTTTTTGAAAATAAAGTATTGCGCAGAATATTCGGACCGAAAAAGTACGAGTCAACCGGAGAATTTAGGCGGTTACACAACGCTGAATTGCGTGAACTGTATCCGGTTAATATAATTGAGGTGATTAAGTTGAGGTGAATTAAATGGGTATGTAAAATCGCTGGGCTTAGTAATGAAAGAATTCCTAAAAAATTAATATGCGCAGTACCAACTGGCAAGCGTCCGAGGAGTAGACTAAAGTGAAGGTGGATAGAAGGCTGATTAGGCAGGGTTGGGTTTAGACCGGGTCTGGTGGATAAAAGAATGTTGACATCGACTGGTGGTATCGACATCGAACCTTCAGCCTTATTGTTATTATTACATTAATTTTAATTATTAAATGAAAATTGATACCAGACTTCTTGTACATTATTCTCCAAATATTCTCAAAATTTGGGATAAATCAAATGTGGAGTTATTGAAACATTGACGTATACATTAAAAATAAAATGTTTGTTAAACAGAAAAATAAATTCATTTGTTCATTCATAAGTAAAAGTAAGGTATGAAATTTGATAAAATTGATAATGGATCATTTTTGATATACAGGAATATCATAATATGCTTGTGAGCCTCCAAATGGTAGAATCTGATGAAATTGATATGAGACCATCTAGGTACCAACTAACACAATCAATGAAATTTTATCAAAATCAGATTAACAATAGTAGGTGATATGCCCATCACATGGATTTTACAGACAGACATGAAATCGAATTTCCTTCAACTTTGTGACAATTTAAATAATATTTACAGTTGTTTTCAGACAAATATTGAAATTATTATGAAAACGAAATTCTATTTAGTTAACTTACCACATTATCTATTTCTCCCACAAGAGTACTACAGTACAAATTTCGTAGTCTCTTGTTACAAGGTGGATGTAGTTTTAAATGACCTTTTATAATATCTTTAATCCTCAGGCAAATACTCTCATCTTTTTCATCCTGAAAACCAATTATACTTTAATCATATATATGCTTGGTTGAGAGTAACAGAAATAACAAATAAAAACAAAGTCACAATAGATAATAGATATTTAAACAATTATTAGGTAACTTTAGACTTTTTTATGTGTTCATAGATCTGGATGTTTTTTACTAATCACAATCTCTATAATTTTGTAATTACTTTATTCCCAGTGTAGCTTTTGGTGTCCATGCACCATATTCATTTATATAATTATAATACATCATAAATTTATTTATTACAGAATTTCTAATTGTCATTCAATTATCACCTCATCTTATTTATTTTTCTACTTAAAAATCAATAAAAGATGAGAACAGCGTTCTTGTTTGTCATCACATATCAATCTAAAATGATTTCAGGTTAAAATTTGTGTTTAATTAATTGAATAAAATTTTATAACTGACGTCTACGAGAATAGGACTCCTCTTTGTCGAAGTCCAGCACCATTTTACTGAGTGCTGAGCATTTCCTGTCAGGAACCTCTATATTTCGGAACTAGCAACTAAAATTATCCCACCTTATTTTATTCACTATTATTTAAATTTTTACTAATTGCTATCGTTTGTGATTAGTGTTGTGGGATGTGTTTATTGTTATATAAATGGATTCTAAAATTTTAGCTTTGATAGGTAGCTTGATTTATAGAGTATTTTAATATTATCAAAATAAAAAAAATTGATGTGCCTCCAGCCTATTATGAACTCGAGCACTGAGGGGAGCTAGATCAGCTCTAGGATTTTACCATTCTTAGCCCTTTGTTATGGTGGTGTCACGGACTATTCACAAAAGGACAGATTTCTGGAAGCTCTGCAGACTTTGGAGTGTAGTTTTGTAAAGGAGCCAGAGAAGGGGAGCGCATGGAGCAGTGTAGGTCGGATAATGCACTTGAGTCGCAAGGAGAGTCGTGGTGATGTCAACAGGCGATACAGCCGGGAAGCCTTCTGCATATGTCTGACGCGACAGGGGAGGTGAGGTGCCAATAAAGTGTGACGCCAAGGTAGAGGAACGAGGTCGAAATCTGCTGGTTAGCTCCTCCGACAGTGAAGTGGGTAGGCATAGGCTTCTTACCCTTCTGGAATGACATCAATCTTTATAGGGTTCACTCATACTGATCGCCTGAAGTTCTTCTACGATGGTGGATGAGGCGTTCTGTGCCAGAGTGAGGGCCATCTCAGCATTGGCGCTGGAAGCATAGATGCCGATGTCATCCGCAGAGGCTGCTACCATTGCATCTGGATGTTTGAGTGCCACTAGTGGTGCAGTGTTAACGACAAACAGCACTGGTTTTTTTTTTTTTTTCTCTTTTTTTTTTCTTACCCTCCAAAATGTTTATTGAAACAATTACATATATAGTATACAATAATACAATATATACATGTAATAAATTCCTTCCACTGCTCTAGGGCATGCAGCACTGGTTTTTTTTTTTTTTTTTTTTTTTTTTTTCTTACCCTCCAAATAGTTTATTGAAACAATTACATATATAGTATACAATAATACAATATAAACATGTAATAAATTCCTTCCACTGCCCGAGGGCATTTTAAGGATTGGGGATAGCTAAAGGTTACATATGTGGCAGAAGGCCTGGTAATTTTTTGTGCTTATTTATTGCTTTATACAATAATTTTGTTATTAGTTTATGCGGGAAGAAACTGTTATTTAGTATACTGAATATTTGTTTCTTGATTAAATTCATATACAAATTATCTGTAATTTTAATTGCTTTATTAATCAAATTGTTACCTACATTAATTATTTGAGTTTTGGGGTGATTAGAATATAAATTGATATTTTCTGATGTCATAGTTTTTTCAAACCAATTTGAATATAATTTTTGTATTTTTATAACTAATGTCATATCCAAATAACTTATGCTATTGTTATTTTCTATTTTGTATGGATTGAATTACACATAATGAACAATATAGGATGCTCTCCAGTTTTAAGGATGACAAATAGGTTACGATTAATTAAGGTCTTTATATTCTATTGCTTTAATGTGTTTTGGAGAATATAATGCAGGACTACATCTGATAGATTTACGGATAATGATAATCGCCTATCGGGAGACCTAAAATTCTTGAAAAGAAAAATATCCGTTTTTGGTGCAAAGCATGATTCCTTCAAGAAACATCATTCTGCTTTTTACTGGGGTGTATTGTTCAATCTTGTCTCAATTTTCAGATATGAGTTTGTAGACCATTTTTACTGGCATGTTTGTAAATAGTGATTTATATTTTAGCTGAATATTGAGCCTTTATAAAATTTAGGGAGTTTATTTTGTTTTTTAAATCTATTGAGTTTTTAACATCAAAAGAATTATTGCTATTGTTCTATTATTAGAAAGAAATCTGTGGAGTTCTTCATCTATTGTTGTTTTCCATAAGTTTTTTAACTTGTTGGAATAGTAATGGTTCAACCAAGTAGCTTGCTTTAAATCTAGAATAAGTTTTAAATTCATACTGTTGAAAAAATTATGATGTTTATATTGCATTAAAAAGGTTTTGTTAAAATTTTTTTTCAAGTTAAATGACATGTTTTAAAAAATGTGGGGAAAAATATTGCTTTTACAATATTTAAGATAAATCAATTTACATTTAGCGCCAAGAAGTTTATAAAAACAATTAAGGAATGCACAAAATTGATCATAATTTGCATGACTTACATATTTTGATAATTCCAACATAATAAAGTAATTAAAAAATTATAGAGACTGTCATTAGTAAAAAAAAATCCTGATCTAGTATTAAAAAAAGTTAAGATATCCAAATCATTTTATTATATTAAACATATAATATTGTATACAAATATATATATTTTTAAATTTTGGTAGCTATTAAGATTAATGCTATTGATAGATTATTTTTTAAGATGTAAGAACCTAAGTCAGTAATAAGAAACCATTTTGCAGTTCAAAAAAATTTCATTGAAATCGGTGACCTGATGTCCATAACACCCCCCTTGTTAGAAAAATGAGTTTCACAACTTTTCCAAAAGTAGTTGAATATACATATTGAAGTACATTAATAAAATACTCACCACAATGCCATAAAAAAGAAATCTTAGAACAAAAGGACTGAGATATGTCCTCTCATTAATAAGGCACGTCAAAGGGTATTTAAGAACATACCAACTTTTTGCTAAGAAAGTAAGAGCTTTTTCTTGTGTTTCACTGATTTGTTCAGCAATTATCTGAAATTTAAACATTAAAAAATATATTTAAATACAAATAAAATCAAATTTTAACTATTGATTTGATATTAAAATTAAGCAAAACTTATATTTACCTTATGGTTTTCATACTCACAAGAGCTAGCTGATGAGCATGAATAGCTAATTTGACTAAAAGGAGAAAATTCAGGGCATTTAAGATCCTCCATGAAAAATCTATTGACCCTAAACATGGTATTTTTTAATGATTCATTGTAATCAGAAGTCAACTTAGAATCATCAAGACTTTCCTTTTCCTCAACAACCTGGCTCTCATCCTATAAAGGACACAGATACATGTTAAGAAATTAGATAGGTACATATTTATATCGCACAGTTTTAAATTAATAACAAAACGTTTACAAATGAAGATCAAGTTATAACTTACTGGAGAGCATCCTACAATAGAATATAACTGAATTTACTTAGTCATTAGCAATATATTCTATTATGAACTCTTTAGGGGATCAGAATATGGATTACCATGTATGAATACCAATTTTTTTTTAAAACATCAAAAATTAGTCTGCTATTAATTAATTATTTATGTAAATGAATCTAATCTACTGCAACTGCTTTGTGTAAAAAAAAACAGGTTGACCACTTTATCAGAAACTAAATGAAACAGTTTACTACCAATGGATATTATGTGATAACTAAGTTAACTTGCATAGGGAGCAGTTTAAATATTTTTTTTGTACAACCAATCAAGAAGATTAAAGGAAGGACGATGGTATTAAAAAACTTTGATATTCCATATCATAAAGAATCCTCAACCTTGCAAAAGACAGAAAATACTATATATGTATATATATATATATATATATATATATATATATGAGATTTCAGAAAAACAGGTTATAGTTGAAAAAGAATGAGTATGTGAGTGCAAGGCCTAAAATCAAGTTGATTATTCAATTGAAAAAAATTCTCTGCATGAATAAAAAAAAAAAACTAATATCAAATATTAATACATTCATTTTCAATTTTTTTCTTTTTATATTACCTTTTTTGTTTCATTCAAAATTTGTTTGGATGAATTGCCAATAGTGAGATAATTCAACAGAGTTCCTTGGACAGTATGATCATTAGATAATTTTTTTGTTTTTTTCCTTTTCCTTTTTGTTTCCATGCATTCTTTTCTTTGTGTAGAAGAAATATTTCTTCCAGTGTTGAGATCTTTCAAAGGAGTTCTTGTAATGATGCTATTCTCCATTTCAGATTTACGTCTTAAAAAAATAAATTTTTTGACTATAATTATTATCCATACAAAATGAAATAAAAAGAATACAAATATATGGTAAAGGTTTCACTTTTAAAGTAGATAAATATTGATACTGAACATACAGATAGATAGAACATACAGATTATATACACAAATAATTTTAAATATCTATCAACTAGTCTGCAAAAAACAACTGAACAACCTTTCCCAAATCAAATATTAAAAAGAGAAAAATTATGATGAAATTACGAGAATATATAATATTAAAAAGATAGAAATAAATAAAATATCAAAAGCAAGTGTACATAAGCAGATGCTCTTCGGTTCAACTAATTTTTGCTTTGACATCCTTATGTTTTCAACTAGGGTAGCAAGGATAATCCTACAGTTACCAAATTTTCTGAACCAGAAGTGAAAAGATCAAAATTTATTTGAGATGTCATATATTATATTAAATTAGAAATTCTGGCGGAATTCATACCGTTACCAACTCTGGCTCAAGAATGGTAAAATGTCTGCAGAGCCTCAAATTATTTATGTGAATAACAAGATATACAAAGAAACAGACATAAGCATAACCATAGCCAATACAGAATGAGAAATTGTAGTTATCTTCCAAATACTTCGAATTTGAAATTAGCTGTCAGATAGGAATAAAAGAATCCTAAAAATGAATTTTTTTTTTTTTAATGCTGAAATGACAAGTAGAGGTCATTACAGTTTGAAGAGTAACAGATAAGACATGCAGTGTTTTTTACTTTAATTTTTTACTATCACTCTTTTTCCTCAATACCTCTACCTCACCATTTCTGGCATATGGGAGATGTTCCAGTAGTTGGTATGATCAAACCAATTTTAACTAGAGTGGGAAGGCCAAGTTCATTCCACGGGTCTACCACAAAATAACTTATAACTTGTCCAGACTGATTCCGAACCGGCATCATTAGACTCGAGAATGTTAAAGTTAATGCTTTAACACGCTCGGCCATCTAACATCACTTTCACTTTCCTATATATGAAATATATAGTAAGGGAAAATATAGCTTGTTTCGTAGAACAATTTAAAATCTCAGTTTTCAATAGAATTACATATTTTAAGGTCCTAAAGTAGAAATAATCAATTCTCGCAAAATGGATGTCAAGGATGTTACAGCACAGCAACTTTTTAACTAAAATTAAATAACCGGAAGTAGCATTTTATATCACTGATTTTAGGCTTTTTTGTGATTTTCTTGATAATGGCAATTCAACTTGTTCTATCAATGTAGAATTGAATAGATTTTAATATCATGTAATCCTTATCTTTTTTGATATAGTCTGACAAGGTTAAAATGGCAAAATTTTCAACATGGCTTTTTAAAAGTATCTTTAATGTGGGTAATTAAAAAAAAATAACAGTCTCTTGCAGATGGTAGGATTAAGAAATGGCCAAATATAAATTATAAAAGACTTTGATAATAAATAGAGGGAGAGAAAAAAAAAATTCCAACTTAAAAACAAATTTCTGAAAATACAATTATTGCTATACATATGTATGATATATCGTTTGGAAGCTAAAGATTTTAGAAACATTTAATATCTAGCATGTAATGTAATAGAAGGTAATGAAAAGTAAAAAAATAATGAATATTAATTCATGGAAATTAAATGAAATTTCCTGATTAAAAAGAAACTTTTAAAATCATTTGAAATGGTCAAATTAGAAGATCGCTGTATCAATATAAAAACATCAACATTTAACATAGCGTTATTTTTCTCTTATCCTCAAGACAAACCAATTATCACTTAATAAATATATCTACAAAATGTGTAAGATTAACAGATAAGTCAAATTTGTTAAATAATGATAAACAATTAATGGGATAATACAACTATTACATACCATTCACTAGAGTTTTCAATATAATGACTCATAAAAACATATTGGCAGTTACATTAGTATAAAATAGTCACAAATACAAAATAATGGTGCATTAAAAATGGGTTTAAACTTAATAAATTACGCTATCACATCTATTATTTGCTCACACGAAAACAAACACCAATTCAAATTTCAATGTCAAATAACCTGAGGGCGGACATAGCTATGGAGGAGGTTATAGAGGGATTAATGATATTTTAGCTATCGATACTTCAGCTCAGTCCGGAATATTTTTTCATCGATAATGTAGTACCTGAATTCAGCTGAATGCGATTTTCTGTTCTTTGTATTTAATATAAAGATCTCTATTTTTCCTAAGCCGCCTTATTCCATCTTCACATATGGTTCCAGCGCTAGCAGATCGAGGATTTAATTTGGTGGGGAGGGGCTTCAGTCGGAAAGAATTTTTTTTTACATATATAAGAATAATTACTTTGGAACAAAAAGAAAGAACCCACCTTTATGAAACAATGTTTAAGTGATTCTTGAAGTACTATTAAATGCAATTACACGAAAAATAATACTTTTATTGAATACTTAATGATTGACCGTTGTATTATTAAAGAAGGAGATAGTCCGGGGTGGCGGTCATAAATAGACTAAATAGTGGCAAAACTATTTTATTAAAAGCCAACGTTTCGACCCGACTTTGCAGGTCTTCTTCAGGGCTAGAACGGACAAGATACAAAAATATATAGAGAATTGTGGAAGTTACATCATATTTAGACAAAAAAATATCAACAATGTGAATAAGTTGTATAAACAGAGTAAGCTAAGTAACAAGATCCTATACTGAAGTAAGTAGGTGGTAACAATTGTAGTATAATATAAAATATAATATATGCAATTGCGAATATACTACTGCATACCTACAGAAGAGGTTGGAAGAAAAGGAAAAACGATATAATATGAAATAATGAACATAAAGGGATGTGGAGAAAGAAAAAATAAAAGTAAGAATAAAAATAGAGACTTACACGTGTGTTCAGCAAGGAATTTCACTTAGAACTGGAAAAACATGGATATTGGAGAATTTTGTTGACCTGGTTGGCAAATGGTGAGGGGGCAAGTAATAAAAGTAAAACAAAATCTGAAAATTACAGTATCGAAAATTTGAAGATATGGATGGATACAAGTGAAAATGCTATATCTATGAAATAATAAATTATGAATATATACATTTACATATAAATCACTAGCGAATCCAGGATTTAATTTTTTGGGGGAGAGCTTCAGCCCGAAAGCTTTTTTTTCATAAAAATAATGATAATTACTTTGGAAAAAAAGAAAGAAACTAAATACCTATATGAAATGGTGATTAAGTGATTCCTAAAGTCCTTTTAAATGTAATTACACGAACAAAAATACTTTAAGAGATAATTTTTTTATTTTATTTTTTCATAAAACATGGTTATATTTTACCATTTGGAGGGGAGAGGGGGGCTTCAGCTCAAAGACCTCTCTCCCCCCCCCCTCCGTAGATCCGCCCGTGATATAAATTAGAATTAAGAAATTATAGATAGGAGTACAATGTGAATAAAAAAAATAAAATAAACAAAAAGTGTGCCGGGTAGCCGAGTGGGCTAACGCGTGTGCACAGCATCGCCGTTGCCCGGCAACCTTATATATATAAGTCAAATGATATAAAAATAGTCACGAGTTCGCGTCCCGATGCCGAGGGAGTCTTAAATCCCCGCCCACGCTCCCTGGCCCGGGAAAACCTCGCATAGCCTTTAACGGCGAGGAAGGGGAGGACCAAAAAGAAAAAAAAAATGTGAATAAAAACAAAAATGAAACTTATTGTTTTTAATATTTTAATGTACTTACTATTCATAATTTTAACAATTTTATTCATATTGTTTATAATTTTTCATCTAAATATGATGTAACTTCCACAAATCTAAGGCATATATCTTTTTGTATTTTGTTCGTTTTAGCCCTGAATAAGACCTGCAAAGTCGGTTCGAAACGTTAGCTTTTAATAAAATAGTTTTGCCACTATTTAGTCTATTTATGACTGCCAACCTGGACCATCTCCTTCCTTAATAATACTTTTAGAGATTTTTTTTTATAAGACATGATTATATTTTACTGGGTTTGGAGAAGGGCTTCATCCCTTAAGCTCCCTGTAATCCGTCTGTGCTACCAGGATGTTGCTTATTAAGCTCTTCTGAACCAGGACAGTTGGTCACTGGTATTTTTATGCATTATTCAGGTTTCGAAGGCATACACATACATATACACATTGAAGATTTTTGAATTCTGAACTTTGAGGTTCTACTCCTAAGTGCCTTGAATTATGCTATCCTATGTGCCTTGCATGTCGAAGTATGCTCTGTTGCTCCAGCATAACTCTTTCCTTCATTTATTTGTCCAACTATTGATTTATTATAAATCCAAGGTACTGCTCGCTATTTCGAAATTGTGTTCCCATTATGTGATATCTATGAGGGTAGGATTGTTTCTTTCTTCAGAGAACCTTTATCTTAATTTTGTTTTCATTGATTTCTAGCTGTAACGTGCTTGCTTTATTTACAAGCTTTCCAATGACATCTTTTATAGAGTTTTGAGAACTCCTAACAATAGCCAATATTGCCATTCGCTTAAGTAAGAAGAAATGTAGTTTAATTAAATATTGTCCAGTTCTTATTTAGATAAACTCTAAATCGGATTCTAATAATGTATAAAAATATGACCGTTTTATCAAATTCATGATTTCAAAAGACTGTAAATATTCTAATTATGTTTAAAAATTACCAATACTTAATAATCCCTTTAGAGCATTCTCTAAAGTTGTTTAATCCCATTCGACTTCTTAAAAAAAAAAGCCCCAGTTTAGTTATTTTTTCAAAGAAGAAACATGACAGCGTCCTACGAAATTCTCATAATTTTAAGGCTATACTGAAAAAAAAAAATCATAGTCGCTGAAGCAACTCGTGAAATTATTAAATATGAAGGGGAAGGTGTCCTGTGCCAGCGCATTGGGCGGGTTGAAAAAATAGCAGTGGGGTATGCGACGTTGGAAAGGAAGAAGGGCTCCAGACGACCATTAATGGAGATTGATGAGGTTCTGCAGGAAGCTGTTGATTCAAATCCGTCCACACATACTCTTAATTTGTGAACTTGTATTAAAAAACCTTTCTGATATGAGATTTTACCGGAAGATTGTATCCTATGATAAAAGTGGATTTTCTGGCGAAATCCAAATACCCGTGAGCAATGGCTAGATCCTGGTCAAACTACTTTTCCGGTTACTGCAAAAGGGTAATTTGAAAAAAAAAATCCTGACTTCGCGTTTTTTAAAAATTTTAATGGGATTTGTTCCTGATGGATACTCTATTAATTCTGAACTCTACTACAAACAACTGGAAAGATTGTACGCGATGTTGTCAGAGCGTTATCCTGCTTTGATGAACTGAAAAGGAATTTTAATCTAACACGATAATGCTCGTCCTCACACTTCCCGTCGGGCCAAAGGAATGTTTAAAGAACTTCATGGGTTCGGATTTCTGCTTCATCCACCATATAGTCTAGACTTCACATCATCGGATTACTACTTCTTTAGATCCAGGACCAATTTTCTTCAAAGGAAAAAAATTGAAAATTTTGCGGAAGTTGAAATTGCGGTCCAAGAGTTCTTTGACCATCCCAACGAATGGTATCAGCATGGAATCGAGCAATTGGCAAGCAGATGGCCAATGAAGGTAGATAACAATGGACTATACTTTGATTATTAATTATATTTTATATCAAAGAAATAATAATACAAATATTTGGTTGAAAAAAAATTTTTTTTTTTCTTTTTATACACCCTATTATTTTATGTTTGGAGAAATAACTTAGAGTAATAAACAGAGTCCTAGATTCGTCTTGTTATTCACATGATCGGTGGTAGTGCTTTCCTGTTCTTCATTTGGTCAACTTACCAAATGGAGAAAGGTGAAAAGTGACATTATGGGAAAATAATATTGTTGCTAAGATCAAAGGTGTAAAGTGATATATTTTCTACATAAAGTTCATTTCAATTGCGCTTCCTCATAAATAAAAAATGTTACTTATCACCAAGGGCCGGATTTGTATAGAAATACATTTTTTTCAAAAATACATATGAGTTGATATCTTTAAGAAATAAGCCATTTAAAAACTTTTGACAAACTTTTATGTATCCTTTTATATTATATTTGACAATATTTATGTTAATTTTTATATATTTGGCCGAAATATGATTTTGTATTTATTCTTAGGAGGCATTTATTATGCATATCAAGATTAAATGAAATTATTTTAGATGTAGATAAATATTTAATTAAAAAATTACAGGTTTATTTTTATATAAATTAATAGTTGACAAGATGTATCTATATTTCAAGCCTCAACCAACTATACCCCAAATGATAAAGTTATGTTTCATCCTAAATAAAGAAAACGTAGTTAGCTGCAAATCTCGCAATCATGAATGTACTGTGGACTAGCAGCTACCGATTTCATTTCATTTGACTGAAGGACTTAAACCTCATCTGAAAACACAACTTTGGTCAGTTGGTTGAAAGCCGTTGCCTTCTATACGAAAATTTAAATTAAAAAACGAAATTCGTCTGTTGATGTAACGGAAGAACGGACGGCTGAAATTTTGATATGATTCAAAGAATATGTCGCCAAAAGAGAATTCACCTTGACTGACGATGTACTCGATTGCGTTTTGAAAACTGACGAAGTGAAATTCGTCATTAGTCAAGTCTAATAGTTGGATGAAGAAAAAATTCAAATAGTCGGTTTCTCTGTTTTTTTTGTGTTTTTTAAGATGCTGAATATGAATTTTAAATTCCCGAACGATATTTTCCATTACGTTCCGAGATATGTGTAAAAAACAGCAACTTTTCTCCACTTTTTTTAGTTATTTGTACAAGCATCCAAAATTATCCATTTTATCGAAATTATCGCTATATAAAAAATTAAAGAAGATAAAATCCCCTATCAATTTTATTGATAGCTTTTTGATGAAGGACCAATGGGTGAGGAGTCAGATCATATTGACTGTTAGCTTATTTTATAAGAAATGTCTGCTTTCTTAGGTTTGCCTCTCAAAAATTCTAATCTATGCACCTCTCGAAGAAATTCATTATAATATATTTGAAAGAACATTAAATTTGTAATGCGTCTCATGCAGACACATT